TTTGCTAAGCAAGGGGTAAATAGGAAAGAATTATTTTGGGCTCAGTTGTGATTCTTGTTTTTCTTTCCTAGTTTACTTGTAAGTTTCAAGGAGGGACTGCAGCTCGCGCCTCTCACTGGGATGATGTATGAAATCACTCTAATTTGCTTCTGAATCAATAAACTTACTATTATTCATCAAGAAAAAAAAAAGAAGGAAAGGACTTCTATAGTATGGACTCTGCCGCTGGAAGGTTGTGTAAAACTGAATTTTGATGGAAGTAGTCAAGGCAATCCTGACCCCTTAGGTATAGGAGGGGTTTTGAGAGATAAGGACTGTAATATCTTAGCCTTGTACTCGGGCCCGGTGGGAATAGGAGACTCAAATAGGGCTGAATTGTTGGCAGCTTTACAAGGTATTCAGATTGCTAATCAACTTGGTGTTGAGAACCTTCAAATTGANGTGGGAATAGGAGACTCAAATAGGGCTGAATTGTTGGCAGCTTTACAAGGTATTCAGATTGCTAATCAACTTGGTGTTGAGAACCTTCAAATTGAAGGAGACTCCAAGGTTGTTGTGGGTTGGTTAACAGATCTGAGCTCAGTCATTTGGTGCTACAAGAACCTCTCAAAGAAGGCCAGATGGTTATTAAGAAACATGGATGTTAGCATACAGTGGGTTGGCAGGTCTGCAAACGCTGTGGCAGATTATCTTGCTAAACAAGTGCTTTAAGGGAACATTTTTACTGGGCTGCCTTGTAATATTTATCTATAGTGCTATGTGGTTTTCACTTTATAAGGGAGGTCGCACCTTGCACTTCTCAGTGGGATGCTTGTAACAGTTATTGTATTTTCTTAATAAAATTCATCTTCAATTATAAAAGAAGTAATTTAGGGAAAATGTTGACTTGATGGATGGGCTTAAAAAAAATCAAGAATGGGAATAGGAACATTTTGATTTGCACTTATGTTATTATAACAGAAAAGTATATTTGCTATTATCATCATCAGAGTCTTATCCCAACTGTTTTAGTTGACTACTAAGGTAGTTCATACTTGAATTCTTATTAGACTAGTAAATTTACATGTGTAGCTCATGAAGGATATCAACAACTTGGAAAACACCCTTATTATTTGTGCCTTCTTTAGGACAAGAGGTGGAGAATTAGTTCAGTATGGAAGCAACAAAATATTTAATGCAGAAAAGCGTACTTGCTTTTGTGGAAGGCAAGGTATCTATCTCAAAGTGGGAAAGTGGTGTTTAAGAAGTGTACTTGCAGCGGTGCCTACTCAAGTCCTGTCAGGGTGTCTAAGACAGAGGGAAAAGAAAATGAGGGAGTTTTTATGGAGGGGGTGGAAGGATGAGTTCAAGTTTCATCTAGTTGATTGGTAAAGAGTTTGTGGACCCATGAAGGCAAGAGGGCTGGGCATTAGAAATTTGAAGAACTTTAACAGGGCACTATTAGGGAAGTGGTACTGGAAATTTAGTGAAGAGCCAAGCAGCTGATGCGGGAGATTGATATAAGCCAAATTTGGGGTAAGGGATAGTTTGAAACTGGATGCAATATCCAGTCTTTTTCTTTTGGCATATCAGTTTGGAAAGGCATTCAAAAGGCATATTTCAAACTTCCCCCAGGAATAAGGTATCAAGTTAGAGAGGGTAACAGAATAATGAGGTGCTCGATAAAGATGTGAGCACTTTATCTTGGCTTTTAGTGGTTTTATGACTTCTATCTATTAAGGATAGATTTAACAGATGAGGTGAGGGCCCTCCTTACAAGTGCTTTTATTGCAAAGCATCTTTCAATTTTCTCTCTAGCCATATACTCATAAAAAAAAACTCTCTAGTCATAGAAGGAGCTTTTATAAATGTTATTAGGTGGTGCCAGGCCCTAGGTGGTGAGTTTTGGCATCCATGGTTGAAGTACTGACATGATGTGCCCCATATCAGGAATATTGTGTCGTATCATATCTTTTGATCACCAATACAACATATATTAGGAGTTAGGGGGTTTGGATGTTTTAAAACAGTGAAGGACAATGTGATAGGACCGCTGTCAAAAGGTGAGAAAAAAAAGTAAAAAAATAAACAGTTTATAATTTAAATGAGCTGAACTCTCAATATGCAAAAATTTGCAAATCAAGAGTATCGGTACTTTGAACCATGTTGGCGTCTTGCTGCGCTGAGGATTCAAATTGGATGGATCTCAGAGAGATAAATGCTACAGTTGATAATCTAGCAAAATCCGGTGCAGATGTTTTTGTTTATTTGTCTCTGTATGTCTCTGTCTCTTTGCCTGTGTATTTTTTTTTATTCAGTGAAGTTGTCTGTGAATAGCTATTTTTGTATACATGCTTTGATTTCCCATTTCTGATTCTGATGTGCACGTTAGCAAAAATATTTTTGATATCGGGGAGGTGTGCTAGAAGGCAGGAATGTGTTTCATACTTGCTTCATAGCATGACTTGTTGTTAGTTCAGAACTACTTTAATGCATGATATGCTGTTCCTTACTCTCATCTCCTGTGCTTCTGTGAAGGGTTGTTGAAGCCACAAGATGGAAATTTGAAGGAAACATCAGTAGCCGAAAGCAATGAAACTCAGAGGAACAGAAAGCTAGTCAGTAATATTCTGTTACTTGATTCAAGTTGGGTTCTATGCATATGACTGAAATATTAATCGGAAGTGATGCCCTTTTCTACCTGAAAACTAAGTTCAAATATTTTGCAGTCGCGCAACTCCAAACGGTTTATGCTTATTCATACTGAGGATTGATGCTATAATTTGTTTTTACATGCAATTGGAACTCTTCATTGCTTGTTCAGCATCTAATTCCCTTGAGGAAATATTATTTGATGATCCTAATGAATACGAATTATTTATGACTTAAGATGGCATTTGGTGTGGCTTCCAATATAGGTGGTTCTGATTCTCATTAAACAGAATCACAGCATTGTTTACAAGTGCCACACCAGTCTATTAATGCAATTGATTTCTGTGACCATAGAAGCCAACTATTTGATGATAACAAAAATTGACCATATTGCATAATCTGAGAAAAGCTGCTGCTTGCTGATTTCTGTGAAACAAGAGGTTGCAAACATGTTTTACTTGATTTTGCTCATATTGCTTCTTCAGAAATCACAAAAATTGGTATTGCTGCCATTGCCAACTGCCACTGAAATCTGTTGATTGATAATTGATCCTTGGGTCTTTAAGGCTGCATTTGGAAGAGGTGTAAAACCTCACCACCGGTTTAGTTTTGTCGGTGTTTGTTTGGAGTGTAAATCAAGATCAATGTAAAACTCTACTCCGGTTCAGATTTGTTGGTGTTTGGATGGAGTGGAGTTTTACATCATAAATCAATGTAAAACGTCACTTATGATGAGGTTATACATTGATTATCGATGTAAAAACTACATCGATAAAATCGATGTGCGTTTGGAAGAGGTGTAAAACCTCACCACCGGTTTAGTTTTCTCGGTGTTTGTTTGGAGTGTAAATCAAGATCAATGTAAAACTCCACTCCGGTTCGAGTGGAGTTTTACATCGTAAATCAATGTAAAACGCCACTTATGATGAGGTTATACATTGATTATTGATGTAAAAACTACATCGATAATAAAATCGATGTAAAAACTACATCGATAATAAAATCGATGTAATACTATATCAATAAGCATGTTTTTTCTATGCTCAACAGTTCACATTTTCGAATGGTTCGGTGTGAAACGTCATCGAAGGACTTTTACGTCGATGATGTTTTACACTGCTTCCAAACGCAGCCTAAGAGCTCTCTCTAATCAATATTTGAGGATGACATTTCTTTTCTGTAAAATCATATTTTGCAGAAAAGAAGCAGTCATCTGGGTAGGCAATGGGAAATCCTAGGAAATATGTAGGTAATTGCTTGAAGGGCAGGGTTTAGCTGACCCCATATAGTTGGGATAAGGCATGGGTGATGATGATGATGCTTGAAGAGTAGGGTTTAATCATGTAAAAGTACTGGGGTTGGGATATGGTGAGGTATGTAAGGAAAAAATTTTGTTATTTAAACTTTAAAGAAAGTTGGGGTCTGTATCAGCTATCAATTTCAGGGGCTTAACTAAAAATTTGAATCAATTTTTGTTTTATCTGGGTCTATGGTTTTCACCATGTAACTTTTTTTTTTGAACCATGAAACCTTTGTTGGGAAGAAGAAATAATTGGTTGTTTTTGTTTTTCTATTTGTAAGATTGCGTGCAGCCTTTTCTTCTGGTTCTTGTACTTGCAAGGTTCAATCTTTACATTTATAGTGAATACTTATAAAGGGCAACTTCTTTCCCATAATATGTGATTGATAGATTAAGGCTCTGCTGGGTTTTGTTCCTCCATGCTTCAGGAATTACAGTGTCAACTGTCAACCTTGGTTTCTTTATGAAAAAGTATGACAGCATTATTGACTATTCCTCATCCACTCTTAAAAGATTCTACATTTTAAAGCTTTACATGAACTTTATCCCATCTCTGTCATCAATAAAAATTGCCATTTTTCATTGATGACTAATAAAAAGGCCATTACCCAATGTTGGCCCCATCTATCTGGGGTCTTGAGAGGGGTAGACTGGATACAGTCCTACCTCTGGCATTTCTCTTTTTCTTTTTTTTTGCACAAATTGGCGCTCTCGCACATGTCAGCCCGAGATTTTACCATTACACTAAGTAATTGTCCCTCATTGAGAACTGATAAATGATTTATTAATCATGAAATAAAGAACAAATGGCTAATAGAATTCAAGACATCGTCATCATCTAGGCCTTATCCCAACTATATGGGCTCAGCTACCTGAATCCTGTTTTGCCATTCCTTTTTGTTTAATGACATATCCATTGTTAAATTATTAGCGTTTAGATCATTTCTTTCCTTTTCTAAGAGTTGCCAAAGTTATTAAATAAGAATCTTTATGATCTTGTTATTGCTAAAAAAGAAATCTTATTATAGGAATACTCCTTATCCTAACTTACAATGCTCATTGTTGCCTTAGGAAGCCTTTGAAACAAAACGCAAGAATGCAAAACGAAGCTTGAAGTCGGATAAGGAGTTATTAGAGTTCACCATGAAGTATCAACAAGTTGTTGCAGAAAGAGATGCAGGTAAGAAGTAGCAATTTTTCACAAATTTTTGTGGCATTTGAAGGTCTTAGGTGGATTTGAAAACTGTGTATGCCAAATCACCAAGGATTGAGCTATAGCTATTAATAAGAATATCCGTAAACTAACTTCAAGAAACATATTAGCATTTGGCATAGAAATGCTTAGGAAAAGGATATGAATCATTTAAATGCTTTGAAAAATACTTGATGCTTGACTGACCACAAGCAAGTCATTTACATTAGGTACCTATAATGAAGTGTGTAGTGTAAGGCAAACATATATAAAATTGATATTTTGTTTTGAAATTAAAAACAGATGCAATTTTTAATTTAATTCAAAAAAAAGAGGGGTGATTTGAGCACTACCAATAAGGGGCAACACTTCTAACTATTATTCAAAAATTACATGTTTAAAGCTGAAAGTACCTTTAGTACATATTAATTAACAGTCATTTGTGGTCTATGGAATTGTTATTATCATCCACAGGCCTATATGATACCGTTCATATTATCATCCACAAACCTATATGATACCATTCATATACTTCTTTTTAAATATTCTTCTGTGAATATTTTAATCTCTTAAGAAGTTTAGTGAAAATGGAATTTTTGTTTGGTGGTAAGTCTCTTCAGTCTTTTGCCCATCTGAATAATAGCTTTATCTCTGGTTTCAGTAAGTGTTACATGTTAATGTATACTATTCTTTTTCAGCCATTGCTGTCAGAGATAAGCTTGAGTCATTATGTAGGGAGTTACAACGTCAGAACAAAATGCTCATGGTACAGTTTCCTTATTTGTCCGTATTTTTTCTGGAGATAGTAGTATTATTGTTTTAGATCAACATTAATATCTAGTTTTTAACATATTAGACATAAAAACTTGGTTTGAAACATTATTACTTGTTACATTAATAGCACCGTATACTTATTTATTAATAAAAATCAAGAATAAGCTAGGACATAATAAATTGAAGCTTTAAGCATGAGTATGGTTTATGGTTTATTTGCAATTTTGGTTATTGATTTTTCTTAACAGCATATCTATTACTTTGTTTTTCCAATAGCCCTTGCCATCTTGAGACAATTATTTATTGCCAATGCCTATATGCAAGGACTACTTGTACAGATCTACTCTACAACTATGTTGTAATTATATCACCATATTGCAACAAGAGACTGCATTATACATCAGAACTGCTTTGAATTTCAATATGAAATAGTTGAAATGGTAGACTTTTTCTATATATTAATGTGCATAGTTGTTAGTGACTTGCATTGGCATGGTTTCATATTGATATATGAATCAACAAGATGGAAGAGTTGACTGTGCACCTGCTGCTAGCAAATGAAGGATGATAAAGATTTAAACATACAGTCCTATTGGAATGAGGTAGACATGCATGTGGGCTGGTAGGTGATGGCAACTCAATAAGGGTAGAACTGTTATGCTTGCTACAAGGATTAAAAGTGGGAAGCTTTCTTCACTACTATATCTTCTTGGTGGAAGGTGAGTCCAAAGTAGTGATACGGTGGTAAACAGCAGTCTAGGACCTCGTCTATATCACCGCATAAGGAAGTAAAACAGTTGGCTAAAAGCTCAAGTACAACTTTCTATTGGGTTCAAAAATCAGTAATAGGCTAGCTGATATCTAGCATACAAGGAGCACAAAGGGTTCAGCTATTTTAGGCAATACCCATGGGGGATAAGACTCAATCATCATCAATATCAACCAAGCCTTATCCCAACTATACGGGGTTGGCTACATGAATCCTGTTTCGCCAGTCTGTTCTGTTAGTGCCATCTCCATTGTTAAATTATTGGCATATAAACCATTTCTCACTACTTCTATTCATGTCCTTTTTGGTCTACCACTAGCCCTTCTAGCCCCTTCAACTTGTAGCAAATCATTTCTTACAGGTGCGCCCATGGTGGATAAGAATGTTAATGAAAAATATAAAAGAAGAAAGCATGTGTAGGCAGCACCACAGCAGGGGCTGGCCTTATTGCCTATGGTGTACAAGGCACATATTATTTTGTACATGATTTTTTTTTCTCACAATGAATGGAAGTTATAACAGTTACTCATAAAAAAGGGGTATAAATGTATGCCCTTAATTGGTCACTGTTGAACCTTTTTTTTTTTCTGATTGGTAACAGAGAACTTTGTTATAAGAGTAAGAGAGATGAACACAACTTTATGGGCATCAATCCCCTCTGCAAACCAATATTGTCAGAGATGGACATTACATTGACCTGTAAAATGGACTGGGTCCTGGTTCAATGTTTCAATTGTAGTTCAACTACAAGCCAATCCCTGAAATCATCACCAATGTCAAACACATTATGTTAGATAACCTAAAACTGCTCTTCATCCCAATATTCTAACCTCCTGAGTACCAAGTGTAAAGAGCGAAGCCTCGGTAGAGGGGACTGGGCACTTCTTTGGTTCTTTGGGGCTACTGCTGGTTTTCAGTTTTACCAAGGTTCAAAATTTTGTCAAACTGGCCTCTCTGAAAAGGTTTTGAAAAGAAATAATAAAAAAGGGGGTAAGTTGGGTCGAAATTGATACTTGGAATGTTGGTTTCTACTATGCCTTGCCCCAAATATGAGGGATCGGCTATATGAATCCTGTTTGCTACTCTGTTCTGTTCAGTGCTAGGAAGGCTGAAAAGCAATGTTTGGTGAGAACATGGAGAGCCAGAGGTGGAGGCTATTCAGCCACTCAATGACTCTCACCTCAGCCACTTGAAAATATTTCATGAAGTTCCCTTATCGGTTGGATATCTTGATATCTGGGAGCCTGCTATTTTGATCCTTAAGAAGGAAAGTTTTAGTATCAAGTGCAGTAGGCCTCGTGATGTTATCACTGAAAAGTTTCTAGTTTTCTACTAAACACAGTTGTATGATTCCTTGCTTTTTTTTTTTCTACTGGTTGAGAGCTATAGGAACTTTTTTCTTATTAATCATTTCTTTTGGACAAATAAATATGGTTTGCAGTAATATGTGTTACAAGGAGTACAAGACGGGTGGACAATGTCCAACCATTAAAGAGGTTTTTTTTGAAGATTAAATAAAGAAAAAAAAATTATTAGAGAAAAAGAGGAAATGATTACAAGAGATGATAGGACATTACCCAAACCCATAAATCACCCTAACGACCTCTAATTACAAGTTACAACCCTTGTCCATCAACCATATACCTGAATCCAGAAAACCCTCAAAAACCATCCCAAAGCAAAAGATATGCAACCGAATCCCCCTCCTTATCCTTTCCTCCCATCATCCAGAGCCCAGTCTAGAATACTACCCCGACAGAAACTCTTTCCCAAGACTATTATCAGGACTCGTTCATTAAAGAAGTTATTGCTTAATGAGATCTGAACTTCTTAAAAACAAGATGAACTATAAAAAAAGCGTGCTTTTCACTGTTCATGTTATCCAATAATGGGTCTCTTTTGTTTCCATTTCTGTGAAAATATATAATATGACATACCGATTAAAAAGACAGAAATATAATATAGGAAATATTATGTTATGCTAACTTCGTTATAAATCTGCCTTTTGGATTCCTTCCATTGCTGCCAATACCTCAGCCCAAAGAGAGTCTCCATTCCCAGCCAGTCCTGAATGAACCATAACTCTGCCACCCTCATCTCCAAAAGATTTTCCTTTCCCTTAACCTCCCAATTCCTATTCCTCCCTCACCTTTGGTTTATATACATCCCAATTTATTAAATGGTCCTTTTTAGAGTCTCCCAGCTTCCATTAGAAATGTCTCATTATTTTTTCAAATCTCTTCATGATTTTTTCAGGAACTTTAAAATCTGAAATATACTAGGAGATTGGTCCTGATGGGCTTGTAAAAATTTGATATGCTTCGTCTGTTCTTGCTAAGCATGCTTGATTTTAGTTTCTACCCTCCTATATTTTTTTGATGAATGATAATAAATTTATTAATTCAGAAGCAGATTTAGAGTGAGTTCATACAACATCCCAG